GCTTTTTCCTGACTTCCTTTTGTTTTAGCTACAGTGACTGCAGCATTGCTTGGGTTCCACCGTACTCTGTGACTATAGATTACACAATCTACTCATAGCATTCTGTATTCATTAAAGACTATGTTTAATTTAAAAAAATCTTTTGTTTCTGTCTTCAGTATGTACTATTTGCTCTGAAATAGGTTCAACTATTTCTGAAGAAAATTATTATAGAAATATCTAATTACTTATGTGTTCAGGCTGACAAGCCTTCCACTTAAGCCTCCATATTGCATGCATATTCTACCCAGATAGTAGTGTTATTCATATGCAACTTCCTGAGAGATTAGAGTAATGCATTAATAAGCATAATTTTTAAATATGGATTGGGATTACTCTTATTATTTTCTCTGTCCAGTATAAAATACAAGTTGTGAAAAGTAGAATTTGCATCTTAACTTGCTCTCCATATTCTTGGCTGACAAATTATCTCTGCTTTGCACCTTAGGAGACTGCCAGATATTAAGTTACAGTTAAAGCTTCACAAATACCGTCACAGCTACTGAAGCCAGAATAATTTTATTTTACTTACTGACTCAATCATGTAGTGAACTGTAACAATCAGCCTTTGTCTCATTTTAAAAATGTGTAAATCATGAGCCACAATTTGTCTGTGAACCACTTTAAGTAACATCTGTCTGCCTAAAAAAGCATTGGGCTTTTATTGTATACCTCAGATTGGAAAATAACCTGCTATAGAGCCAGATAAACCTGAATCTTGGCACATCACTGACCAATTAATTATACTGAATTTTTACTTTCTCCTAAAGAACATCATTTTCTGAGCAAATGATTATACAGACTATTTAAATAAATCTTGTTCCACAAATCCTAGCTCAGTTCTTTACTGATCTCATGTCTATACTATTTCATTTAGCTTAATATATCCAAACCACAATTGCAAGTTTCCACCAAAAAGTTGATTTAATTCTTGAATAAATTGTCAAAGTAATATTTGGTGTCTATATAGATAAATACCATTCAACTCCTTTTCCTGCCATCCTACCCACAACGCACGAGAAAGGCAGTATTCCTTTTGCTCCAATTTTTCTGTTGAACAGTTTTTTATTTGCATTCTTTTCAGCATTCTTCCTCATATCTAAGAATATATTTTCATTCCAGAGGACTTGAGTATTGCTACATAACTAGTCTCAAAATCCATAAATCCAAACTATATGGAGAAATAGAATTCTTCATTCATTTTTCATGACTCCTTGTTTACTTAAGATGCTCTTAACTTTAAACATAAATGATACTTTCTTACCATATTTTAAAATCTTAGGAGAAATAAATAAAAAATGTTGAATATATATAATTGCAGAGTAAGATTTACACTGAAGTAAAACCTTATGGTAAAAGTTAAGATATAATTCCTATTATGTGAGAGCAGTGGCTGTGCTGAAAAAAAAACACATTTCCTGAAATGCATTGCTAACTTCAGGTCCTCATTCCTGCTTCAGAAAGCAAAAAAGGAAAGAAAAAGTTGGATGAACTCCATCAGTAAAGAGGTATTACTTTTCTTTTGATTTAGGATCCTTTATCAATTGACTTATGATGCAGCAATATAAAGACAACATTATGCGCTTGATATGTGGTTTGTAACAGCTCTTTCATTGCCTGGCAAACATGAAGCAAGCACTGATGACATTTGCAAAACCTGCAAATGGAAAACACCACTAAATACTCTTTCGTGTCTTAAAGCAAGAACCATGGGATATGATTTTATGAGATAGCACCTTAATATATTTACACTAGTAGTAAAGAGTCAAATCTTCCTGCAGGTCTGTGCAGGAGAGCTCTGAGGTAAGGACTCAGTCATGCATTTGCAAAGGTGATGACAATCTGTTATTTGATCTTAATGCCAAACAGAAAAACATAACATGTTTCCAAGGGCTGTACATCTATATTTGTGATGGAGCACTTCCAACAGGTGAAGGGATTTAGAGGTTAACTTTTTTCCCCAATAGCAGGCTGGGATGACTCGCTTGGATTAGCTATTTCCTTTTGTTAAGTGACACAACGTTGGAAAATATTTTGGGCAGGACCCCCAATGTACCATCTGCTCGAGACAAAGCCTTTTGCATCATGTAGAATCTAGCCTCCTGTCAGCATAAGTTGCTGAAGAAGTTTCATAAAAAGAGACTTATATTTGGGGACTAGATTTTAATACTGATTTTACTGATTTCAGGGCTACCAAGATGATTAGAGGGCTGGAGCACCTCTCCTATGAAGAAAGACTGCAAGAGTTGGGCCTGTTCAGCCTGGAGAAGAGAAGACTGAGAGGGGATCTCATCAACGTGTACAAGTATCTGAAGGGGGAGTGTCAAGAGGATGAGGCCAGCCTCTTCTCCGTGGTGCCCAGCAACAGGACAAGAGGCAACGGGCAGAAACTGAACCACAGGAAGTTCCATCTGAACCTGAGAAAAAACTTCTTCACTGTGAGGGTGACAGAGCATTGGAACAGGTTGCCCAGAGAGGTGGTGGAGTCTCCTTCCCTGGAGATATTCAAAACCCGTCTGGATGTGATCTTGGGCAATATGCTCTAGAGGTCCCTGCTTGAACAGGGAGGTTGGACTAGATGATCTCCAGAGGTCCCTTCCAACCTAAACGATTCTGTGATTCTGTGATTTTCTATTTTATTATCTATGACTGACAGACTGAAAAGAAATAAAAATTATTAGCCAAGAAAACTGACTGAAAGCTTGATTAGCAGCTGGCAAAAGACTCCATATGAAGTTCAGAAAAACAAGAATTGAGTAGGGATACTGAGAAAAATCATCAATGAAATGGAAATCATTTGTTTTGCCTTTTTCAGGTGACTAGGGAGATCTAATATCTTCCCATCTGATCTAGTAATTAGCACTGCCACTGTATTTCTAATTAAATAAAGGACTCAAAATATATTTCAGCATCAAGGGATATCATTTTCATTTCTAAACTCATTTTAGTACCACAGAGAAGCATATAAATCTTTCATCATCAGGTACCATACACACTAGTGGAAGGTAGGTGACATGTCAAATGCTGTGACCTGTATTGCAAGAGATTTGCTTACAATACAATTCATATATACTTAATGCAAGAGAAAAACAGAGATAAAGACAGACAGAATAGATGTTTGGTATGGTAGGTACTAGAATATTACTAATTATGACAAAGCCAAGAAAAAGAACCAGTCTTCAGATTCAAGGATAATAGAGCTCTAACTTGGTTCCTTAGCTATATTAGAAACACTTCGCACAGTATGAAAAAATCTAGTGTTTGTGTTTTTCTAGAATTTGCCTCAAAGAAATTAAAACAAAAACATCAAGATCTTCTCAGGCCTCATCCTAGGCACAGGACTCAGAGGTTCATACACTGAGCATGACTCAACCCAAGCCCTGTTACATTCCCATTTCCCGAGAAACACATTCGTACTCCAATTCAATCGCTTGCCCACATCAGTTTTTCTTGCATGATCAATACTAAAGGCAGTGAAATTATATTTTAGGTAAATACTCTGAAAAACAAACTGTCTGACTACATATAATTGGCAAATAGGATTATGCATTGTAGTATACAGGACTCTGAAAGAGCAGAGGAGCAGAATTTGACTTTGTTCCAGATAGTTCCCAAAAACAGTTATTTCTTTTACAAATAAAACATGTTTGTAAATTTAAAAATTCATGCTGCCATCAAGCCATAACCTTCTATGTAAAAATCAGATATTTTTCTTATGAATTTAAACAGAAATCCTTGCTAATCACAGGAATGTCTTTGTAGTCTTCTTGTGTCTATAGCTCTATAAATATAGATAGTTTATTTTCTATGGAATATCACAGACAAAAGGCGGAAATTAGTGTTTTTAAAACTAATTTACCATAGATCTTGAAAAAAGATCAGTTTTTGAAGAAAATACCAGCAATGATATTGCACCCCTGAGGTAACTTTATTTAATATTCAAAGATCATGTGAAATTATCCAAAAGTCAAGAGAGTGATATTTATGCCAAAAAAAAAAAAAAAAAAAAACTTATTTAAGGGTTATAAATTCTGACTCCTTATGTTTAAGAGTCCATTTTATTTTCTACCCAGTGATCGTATTTTTTATTTTAAAGGAAATCTGTAGGAGCTATAATGCACCCTTGGTCTATTAAAAATGCTATTGTGATATTGAACTTTTATTTTAGAATTACCACTAGGTATCCTCATTTCTCCCCAGCTCTAGAGAAAAGTTCTAAGTCTCATATCCTTGGGCAAATGAATACAACATGCAGAGTGAAAAGTAAATAGGCAGTGACTCCTTTTATGAATAACGTTCATCAAAAAAGGCAACTAGCGATGCCATCATGCTTTCCAAAACATATTTTTCAGCTGAGGTAAGAAAGTGTATGGAGAGAGAGAGAGAGATAGAGAGAGAAAGAGAGAGAGAGAGAGAGAGAGAGAGAGAGAGAAACACAAAGAGATCAATACAGAAATACATGAACAGCTATCATGGGAAACGAGATGTTTTAAGCTATTGTTTTTTTGTTTTTTTTTCTCCCTGAACCGTAATTCACCCAAATCTTCAGAAACTGACAACTTAATTCATGCTTTCCACCTTAGTTTGATACTTGCTATGGCATTGCTAAGGCATTCTTTTTTGCCTGAAGGGTTATATGGTAATCTACAGAATATGGTTATAAGCTTCAATCTATTTGCTTAAACTAGTTCAAGTCACTTAAAGAAAAGAGTTTTAAAACTATCACTTTAGAGATGTATTAGCATCAGTAACTCCTTGGGCCTGACGCTATGTAATCCTTCACACCTGTTCAAAGTTGGGTAAAATTCCTGTAAATCACTACATAAAATGCATCACAACAGAACTCGGATACTCTGAAATACTATGAAGCTGCACAAGAAAACACAAAAAAAGAAACAAACACACAAGCTTCCAACATTTGTGGGTAAAACAACACTCAAATATATTTGAAAATTACTTACTTTTCCTTCACTGGTAGTTCTGTCTCATAGGCTGCCACTTTAGCTCCTGTCCCAGCAGGCTTTACTATCCTTTGCCTTCGCTTCCGTGTTGGAGCAGTATCAATGACGTCTGGACTACCCAGGATGGAGTCCTTTCGTTCTGGCACTGCCGAAAGGAAAAAGACCAAAGCTGAAGAGAACCTTGAAGTATTACAAGATAATTCTTAATATATTTTTATTTATTCTTATTAAAATCTCCCTCTATACTTGACAGATTCAGACTTGACAGCAGTTGGTGTCTTGTAGTAAAACAAACAGAAAAATGATACAAAGTGAAATTCAAAAGGTCAAATTTAAACGAGAAAAACAGCTTTCCTTTACCTCTCTCTGTAGTCAGATGAGAGTAAGAAGGATTTTCAAATACACAGTTAAAGATCAGAAATTTACTGCAGGTTTCCTGATCCCTCCTTGGGTCCCTCCTGATCCCTCGAGTAACTAGAGAGGTAGCCTACAGAGTCTAGTTTCACCTAGCTGAAGTTAGTCTTTGTAATCTACAAAATAATTGACAAAGATGTGCACACAGCAAAGGAAAAAGGAGCTCAGGATTTGCAGTTCTGCTTACTGCATGGCTTTATTCAAACTCTCAGTCCGTAGTATGAGTAACAACACACGTTCAGAACAAAAGGGAACAGTATGATTTTCCATATTCATAAGGAAAAACCCTTGTGAGAAGCTTATTTGCTGTGGTCAGGTACAGGATTTTGTTATGCAGAAGTTACCCTGCTACCACTGGGCCATAAAACCTCAGGAGTTCTGCTGGAGACTCCCCGAGGACATTGGCCAGAGAGGGATGGGCAGCCCCATACCTGTTCACGAAGGCAAAGCATCCTCCATCTGGAGCAAACCACAGCATAAAAAGGGAGAATGCCAGCCAGCTCCCCGTTCTGCCTGTGGAACGGACGGCCCTGCTTCCCTGGCAGCTTTCTTACTCAAGAGCAAATTTCTTAAATGCTGAAGGGGAGCTGCAGTCTGAAAGGAAGATGTAAAGAATCCCTGTCTCCTTGCAACCTCAAACGAGATAGCAAGTGTAGGCTTCAACTCACTCCTCTGCTTATGATAGGTAAAGTAAGCTACAGCCAGATTCATTCACCTACAATTTTCACTTCCATTATTACTGCATAAACTCACATTAGTAATTCTCCATGAAAATTCATAAAAGATGCATTGCCTCCATTTAAAAAAACAACCCTCTATCTGCTTTGACAGCTATCTGATTATTCGAAGCTTTCATGTCAAGATGGTCAAATCCTTCCTTAAGCTAAAATCCTCTCTCTCTTACTATTGCTATATATAGAGGAAATATGTAGACATTTTTATGCCAGCTATCAACATTCTGTAGTATGCTTTTATTTGATGTGCCTGCTTTAAAAATAAAATCTTTAATCACTTTGCATATTTAAGATAATGATATCCAGAACAGCACACATTTCAACTGAAATATATCAAATAATGATGTGGTGACTGAGGGTGATGTTATTATGGTAACTTCCCTGACTACTACTATCTGTGCATTTTAGGAAGGTTTAATCCGTACATGGATGAAAGACACTATAATTTGAGATTCAGTACTGAAGTTTTCCACATGAAAATAAATAATGGGTCTTATTTCTTCATTCCTTTCAAATTTGTTATCCATCTTTACAGAATGGAAACTGGAATTTAAAAAAATGCAACCCATAAGTAATATTTCAATTTTTTCTCAAAAGAGCTGTTTCTGATTCAGAAAGCCATTAAATTAACCGTACAAACACAGGCTCCCTAGAGCCAACGCAATTGTTGCTTACAGTCAAGCATATACTTAACTATCAGAACCCTCCTGGCTTATAACAGCATGCACTATACTACATCAGAGATTTACAGATCTTTGCAGGGTGACAACAGGTATTAGCTGACATGTTTCCAAGTCATAAGCTAACTAACGAGTTTCAAAGTCCAACACAGACAAGGTACGCTGCCTATAATAAATGTTGAAAAGGGTTAAGTTACAGCCTAACCTTCCATACTAAACTTTTAACTAGCTACGTACACTTTTCCAGTGCTAAATGTTGAAAACATGTCAGCTCTTGTTAATTACTGTTTACTGATGACATATTCAAAGTAGTATACCTAATGCTTATATCAATTCTGTTCAGTGTATATATATTTTAAAATCACTTCCTAAAGTTAGCACCTTCTCAATTAATACACAAAATAATTTATTATCAGGAACCATACATACAGCAACAAACTTAAATAATTTCATTATCATAGTTCTTATCTTTCCTTGTCGCCATTCTTTTCTCACACTGTCTGCTCCTGCCAAAAAGTAGATCCAATTTTAACTACATACACAATGACAACACAATGTTGCTGTTAAAAAATGTCTCTGTGTTTCTACTAGTGTAACAGATAATGGTTCTCTTTAGACAGGAGTTCATGCTCAGCATCGCTTAATGTTTAGATGCAAATCCTGTTTGTCTTCCACAACAGTCCCATTGATGCTCATGTGAGAAAACGGAAAAGAAATGTTAACCTTTGTCACATACTGCATTTATACCTAACCTTAGGCTGGGAAAGGGTCTCAGTTTTGTACTAAACATCTCAGTCTGATCTTTCCCATGAAAACAAATTTTGGTCTTACAATCTATTAAAGCAAAGCAGAATAAAAAAAACTCACCTAAATGATTCAAGTTAACCTCTCATTAAATTCTCAGTAAAACTGAGAATTTCCATTTTGAGAAAATTTCTTCTAACAATAACAAGAAAGCGGCTTCTCATTCACACAGCGCAGAACATGATCTTATGATGGACAGTAGTAGACTGGTTCATATATAATAGCAGATCACCATATTTTTTTTTTAAGCCATACTACCTCTACAGTTAGACCTGCGAATGAAAAGATGACATGTTTGAAGGTCAAAGTATCAAGCATCACCTACTACTGCTGCCCAGAAATGAATCCCATTAATGGATTTACCTATAGTTTTTGACTAAAAGCCAAACAAAGCTTAAGCAAAATATTATCCTCTGCTCGACACAAAAGGTTAAGAAATAATGGGAGATAGTCTTGAATATAAAACAAGTTTTCATTCCGAAAACTCCTTCCTTTCCCTCTGAATTTAATTAAATTTCAAGAAGTTTCTTTACTTCTCACTGTTTCTTGCTTTTATATTGTTTACTACAGTATAAATGACCACTATACTTTTTAGAAAAATAGTAGAAATTTAAATATAGAAAAGAGTGCTGTATGATGAAAGTCTGTTAATAAATCCCATAGAACAACAAATGTTGATCCAATAAAGGAAGTGTTCCCAACAAACAACATATACCTTCTGCAGGTGAATAGCTGCAAATAACAGACTGATAAGAGAGCAAGAAAGGGAAACATAGTTCAAGTGCTAAAACAGTATTTGTGCTAAGATTAAAGATTTTAAATAAAATCTTTTGATCTGCTATTTACTCTTTTGAAGAATGATATTGTTTGGTTGATAGACTAAATTAGAAAACCAGGATACTGTAGAAAAGAATTTAAAGTGAAAACTTAAATATCTTTATTTGATTTAGAAGAGTCAGAATGAAATTAAATCAATAGAGAATTAGTTAAGAAAGTGAAACAGAAGACACCTCTCCACCTACGCAGAAAAAATGCCAGGACCCATTCTCCGAGTCTGAGGACAGTCAGTATATACTACCTCGCATCCACTCAGTTAAATTCTCCTCCTTCCCAAAACAGTGCCACCTCTTCCATGCAGGTTGTTGGGAAGACTCTCCAGGCACCAGGCTCCGCCTGAGGAGCTGCCTGGCTATAGCTGCTGCAGAGCAAGATCACGCCAGGGAACATGCTATCCGTAAAATTGTGGGGACTACTGTGCTCGAGTGCCAGCACCGAGGCCCGTGGCTTGGCATTACCTGGTTTACTAATGCAAGCATAGTCAGACACACTGTTTTTTTGAAATCTTGTCACTCCGTGATATGAGCAACATGGGGGAACGGACAGGGGATGAGTGAGGCGAGCGGACAAGGCACATGCGGGCACTCACTCTCCAGCCTTCGCCTGGATGCCCTTTTTGCTAAGTTAGATGCTTAACAGAAGCTCTGTTAGTAAACTTATGCTCAGTGACAAAACGTCAGTCATCTTCAACATTCAGAGAAAAGAGCAAAGAACCTAAAGAACAAAGAACCTGAAGTGAGGGACACCTTTTGACTTTTCCCAATTAATAAAAGAATTAGAACTAGGTTTAATTTACTATTTTTGCACTATTGAGAAACAAGAGAAAAGAGCATATATCTGACATCAGAATGAGATCTTTATAAACACTCTGTATGTACTGCTATAATATCATGTACTTTAAGGCAGACTAAGCTTGTACTTTTTTGCTGTAAAAAAGATGTTTGAATTAAAAAATGGTCTAGCTCTGCCAAATCTAGACACACCTTCAAGGAAGAGAACGTGAAGTGTCAAAGCACAAGGTATGGAGATACTGTGATCCCTGTAAACCACAGACATTTAAAAATTAATTTCTATAACTTAGTTGTAGATGGACAGTCCAGTTGTATTTTAAAACATTTATTCTCTCTCAGACAGAAGCTACTTTATTTTAGTTTATAAGAGTCAAATTGTTAAAAAAAACCAACTTTGAATCCCTCATATTCACCCTGCAATTTGAAAAAATTTCATTCTTTGTACATCATCACCTGTAATGAAAATGCTACAGCTAAAACTTACACAATTGCTAACAACAGTGCTGCCATTACATGAGAGAACAGAATCTAGATCCTGCTCTAACTAGTACTAAAAGCTAGTACTAAAAACTTAGCTTTGCCATAAAACATATATAGAGTAAAGTAAAAACAAAGTTTGAGTAGAAACATTCCAAATTTAAACAATTTTCTCCTACAATGACCTAATCGCTAAGTTGCGTAACTACTGCTGTCTCTGCTCCTGCCTTAACACAGCATTGGTACTGATAAAGTAGATTGCAAAGGGACAAAGCGCCCACAAAACCATCACCTGAAGAGCACTAGGACAGCTGCTCCTCAAACCATGAAAAAAAAAAAAAAAGGCAAGGGAACAGAACTCATTACTTTAATCCTTGACTATAGTGTTACTTCAGTAATTATGAGGTT